TCAATCTAGAATAATGCTAGTGAGTTTTCATTTTCATATGCCAACGTAGACATCTGCTTTTTACAACGAGAACAGAAAATGATACTTTGATTACGACCCCAAATATTTTTATTTTATTTTAACGTAACACAGCCTTTAGAACATTATACTTTGACTGTAGGTTGATTATTAAAAATAATGATAATACTATCGTTGAAGTAAGCCTTCGTACTGTAAAATGCAAAAAAAATGTCAAGCCATTTTTTATTATTGTGGAAGGAAAAAGTTAATGAGAAAATAGATAAATAATTAGTTTACTATTAATTTTTTGAGATAAATTTGAAACTCCCCCCACCCCACCCCCTTCTTGCTAGAGAGGACGAAAATTTGTATTGTAATATTCAGATAAAGAAATTTGAACTACAGATTATTATTCAACCAAAATCTAAATTAAATTTTAAACTGAAGATATCATCAAGCGAAAAATACTATAAAAGTTTGTGTTTATTTTTTGAGTGGTCCCTTGAAAAATTTAGAAATTTATTTTATTTTTCAGCACTTTACCCTGGTCTCATACTGATAGATCATGGACATTTCCAATACAATAATATTTCTCTGGGGCTCTTCATCATTGCAACATCCCTGGTGTCCAGGTTAATATTTGCATTATCCCTATTTCCAGGTAAAAACTTTTCATTGCAACATCCCTGGTGTCCAGGTAAATACTTGTTATTGCAACATCCCTGGTCTCCAGGTTAATATTATTGCAACATCCCTATTTTAGTGTTCTGATAAATATTAATTATTATTACAGCTTCCCTGGTTTTCATCAAAAAATATTATTGCAACATCCAAATACTACTTAGTACTTACATTTAAATATTCTAGGAAAATCATCATATTTTGTGCAACAATCTCGATCTTTATTCGTTGATTTCGAAAATGAACGATTTTCTAGAGGGGGAGGGGGGGGCCTTCAGCACATTGCATTTTTGTAAAAAAAATGATTAAAAACTGTGTTCAATCTAGAAATGTATTATTTATTTTCTAGGAACCGTGACGTGCTCGGATCAATTTTCTTCTGTCTTGCGTTGAATTATAAACAAATGGAGCTTTACCACGCTCTTCCATTCTTCTTCTTTCTTCTTGCTAAATCTTGGAATCAACTGACATTCTGTAAAAAGGTAAAAAAAAAAATCCTCCGCTATTTATACAGATGGCAGGCCTCTTTTAACAAACTGAAAGCGCCCTAACCAGCTCTGGGATGTACTCAGAAAACCGTCAAAGTAATAGGATATCAATCGTTTTCATCCAATAAACGTCAAACCTGCTAATTCAGATAAATTATAATTTTTACAATGAAAAGATTTTATGCGTACCAACAAAATTTAGCGAAATATTACTAAAATTGACAACCCCTCTTTAAACTTTTATATTACAATAAAAAACGTGTTTTAGATAACCAAGGTAATCTTGATTGGTGTAACTGTAGTTCTTACTTTCTTATTCATCTGGTCACCTTTCCTTCATAGAGGTCTACCAACTACCTTGCAGGTAAACCTTTCCTTCATAGAGGTCTACCAACTACCTTGCAGGTAAACCTTTCCTTCATAGAGGTCTACCAACTACCTTGCAGGTAAACCTTTCCTTCATAGAGGTCTACCAACTACCTTGCAGGTAAACCTTTCCTTCATTGAGGTCTACCAACTACCTTGCAGGTAAACCTTTCCTTCATAGAGGTCTACCAACTACCTTGCAGGTAAACCTTTCCAAGTTAGAGGTCTTATAACCACCTTACAGGTAAACATATACAACAACCTACTATCTATCTGTTATGACATGTTAGCAACCTCTAAAGACTTCTAGTAAGTGGTCTACCAACCTAGTAAAATGACAGTCGTAATTTCAAATTGACCTTTCGTTTAAAGAGGGACGTGCTCGATTCACAACAATAATAACTTTTATCTGATTTATAATGTGGAAGATACGAGAGAAACCATTGGAAAATAATCTATCAGAAGATAATGGATTTATTATATTAATTTGATCATGGATAAAGATTTTAGAGGAACCACATTGTGAATCGGACTTGCTAGTTCTATAAATAACGAGTCAATTGAAAGAACGCCTATGGTCCCTATAAAACTTAATATTTATATGTTTATATTTATCCTAGGTGTTAAAGAGGATTTTTCCAGTGGATCGAGGGATCTTTGAGGATAAGGTATTTATTAACATTTTTACAATATTGGGTTGAAATAGAGTTGGAAACCGTTATTTTAGACATGCATGATGTTTAGGCTTGGAGGCTCGACAAAATTATAAGAAGTTTTAAATTGACTTTTGTATTTATGCAGCTTAGACGATCTAATGAAATATTTAAGTTTACCTTGTGTATCAGGTCGCAAACTTCTGGTGTAGTGTGGATATCCTGCTCAAGCTGAAGAATAGGTTGGATATCTCTCAGCTTGGAGTCATTTGTCTCATCACAACATTTATTGCCAGGTATACGCTTCTATACATATTTATAAAGTAGTAATGTCTGTTTTTCTGTTTTTTTGTGTGTCCGATCATAACTCAGAAACCCCTTGACCGAGTTGCCTCAAATTTTAATTGGGGAACTCAGTAGAACCACGAGATTGCTCTTAGCCTGGTTAAATATTCTAGTTGAGGGGGTTTACTTTTACAGACAACGCTGGATTCCCAAGCTAGTAACCAGTTTAAAGTGGAATGAAAGTCGTCCTTTTTAAGGCCGAATTTCGTTAAGAATAATGTAATTTGTAACTGTTCGAACTCTTTAAATGTTTTCTGAAAAGTGTTAGTTAGAGCTCTATCAGTCATAAGTTTAAAGAATCTTTTTTGTTACATTTTCAATGTAACGATTAAAGGGAGTGTCTGGCTATACATGGTAGCGGGCAGTCGTGCCGCGCCACATTCACAACGTGCTGGACAGGCGAGCAGCGCCTTGGGACAAGGGCCAGGAGGATTTTAAAGATCGATTTTGCGCTCTTACTTAGCAAATAGTACAAACGTTACTAAAAAAAATCTCTCCTCTACTGCACTCACAGCTCAACGACTACATTCACAGCTCAACTACCATGTCTAGCTAGGCACTCCCTAATTAAACAACAAGGGCTACTTTTACTCAGCTATTCACTGGTTCCCATTATAGATAAAGTGCTATCTAAACTTTTGAGGCCCCTGCTAACTATTTTTATTTAGTTTGCCGAGTAACCTTCATCTTCTGTTTAAACCTTCAAACCGTTCATTCCTCTTCGCTCTGCTCAACACGTCTCTAGTTTTCTTTCTTTTCTCTTTTCATGTAAGTTTATTTTGTTCGTTATTATTTAACCTTGATTCAGTAGTTTCATTTTGAGATGGAAATATGATTACTATAGGTCGTCCCTAAAACTCTCATTTTCTGTCAAAGCTTGCTTTTTAATTAGTTTTTTTCATTATGTTCTTTAGTATTTTTTCTAACTTTTTCTAGATTTTCATCATAAATAGTATTTTTTCTAACTCCTTCTATATTTTCATCATAAATAGTATTTTTTCCTTTCCTTCAAGTTAATAAAAAGAACCTTGTTAATAAGTTACCTTTACTTTCTTCTGTAAGGGACTATAGCCGTAATTACTAATTTCCTTTAAATAGTTGTATTTCAGATAATAGAACCCTTTAAACCTCGATCTGAGTATTAATAAGGAATATATCGTCGTTTTTTAATTGTGATCATTTCCTGCATTGTCTCTGCAGTATAAATGCGCAAGTCCCTTTTTAAGAGCAACACTGCTTGAAAAAAATACATTTTCAGCAAGAAAGATATTGATATCTCATTTTCAGGCTAGGTTTTAATGGTTCTGTTGCGAATCGGACTTGTCACTTTATTATTGAAAGACCATAGGGTACCTGAAATCCCTGAAATGGAATTTTTTTTGTTAATTCTTTCCCTGGAAGGATGAGTCAGTAACCCCATTCTGTCTTCCCTCGAAACTGCAGTATACTTTTTTTTGTAAAAATTGAATAGGGATTTTGGTTTATTTTTTATAAAACAACAATTTGCAATTGTATCCTTGCTCCTTTCTCACTCATCTCGCATGATTTTGTATTCCAGTCTTTAAATTTATGGTAAGTAATTCTTTTCAACTGTTTTTTGTTTAAAAATTTCAAAATCTGGATTAATCTTTTGGTTACCTAATCTTAATTTCTCGGAAAAAATTGTTGTGGGTTATCAGGGAGAATAGTTTTCAATAGAAATTTTTCTCCTTTGACGTAGATGTAGAATCTCTGATGATTAAATGATACTAGAATCATGAAGTAAAGATTATTTTCAATTAAGGATCATTCAAGCATCAACCATAAAACAACATTTTCATTAATAAACCTCTATTCAGCTCTTCTTGGGAAAAGATTTTATTTGTTCTCCACTTTTAAGAAAATTTTTTTAAACGAGGTTTTTAGGAAAAGGGGGTGGGGTGTGATGCTGATGAAAAGTGGGCCCATCAGACAGTGATGGAAAAATACACATTAATGGTCTTGACAAAGGCCAATCTTTAAATTAAATGTCACTCGAAACAATGTCAAAAGTTTCTTTCAGAAAAATAAGGATGAGAATTGAACATGAAAGCTGTGAACTGTTTAGGTTCATGAGAAATCCATCCTTCTTGTTGCTATCCCGGCAATACTGGCAGGATCCATTCTACCTCAGCAGTCCTTGTACTGTAGCAACCTTCTCCCATGGTTCCTCTCCATCTCAACCTTCTCCATGCTCCCTCTCCTATACAAGGCACAGTGTTGTCAAAGTTGACATTGAACTATTCACCTTGACCAAACATGGTGTTGATCCGTATTTTACAGCAAAATCATATATTTAATAATCATAATTTTCAATTTTCTTTTTATTCACTTTCAATATTTTATCTGTTTTTCGTAAGTTTTAAAGTTTTTAAACTATGTATTATTATAAAGTATGATATGTTTTGAAGGACAAATCCACTAAAAATGGTTTGAACATTCATGTCTCAGGAGGGAGGGAAGGCCAAGCAGCCATGAACCCCGTGGAAAAGTCTCCGAAACCCTGCAGAAACAGTCTCCGAACCNCTTCCTAACTTTTCAGCTGACATGTATGATGACCACACTTTACAAGGATGGGTTGCTCATTCCTAGCTCTGCACTGTTCATCATGTACCTCGTGGTCCATCAGAATATGCACTTTATTCTACCAAGAAAACAGCCTAAACAGAGGTAGTTAACTTGTTAATTCAGACTTCATTTACGTAAACTTAATGGCTAAAATACCCCTCTCTTCAATCTAGAATTGTTTGTTTTTTACAGAAGTAGTTTGTTTGCTATTTCTAAAAAACGAAGAAATAAAGACATTTTTTAAAAAGGGACTAATAAGCAGTGTTTTGGGCGCCGGATTCGTTGAATCCGCAACATTTTGGCTTCCTGGATTCGGATCCACAAAAATATACGAATCCCCGGATCCAAGGGGCAAATATTAACCTAAGAAAAAACTTTTTGCTCTTCAATCCTAAATCTGGACTGTTGAAAAAAGAGAGATCATTTGAAATTTCCTTATTTCTGAATGGTTCATCAAGGTTTAATATAAAAATTAGCAACGAAAAAGAAAGAAAAATTATTTAAAATTTTTCTTGTGTTAAAAAATTTGTAAATTAGTAATTTGGATCCGGATCCATTTTATCAGGGCGGATCCAGGATCCGGATTTGAATCCGCATCAAAAGGAAATGGATCCTAAGCACTGCTTTTAGGAATAAACATCATTCCCGACCAAATAATTATTTAATAATTTTCAGAATATCATCTCCTCTTCCGGTTGAACCTGAATCAGTTTGGGAGCGTTCACTGGCTTTAATTCAAGTTCTCTCAATTCTTGGTTGCATCATCCTTACTCTTCTCTTCGTGTTCTACCCTCCTCCATCCAGGTTAATTGTCATTTTGTTTTGGGACACACTGTTAAAATTGTACATCTAATCTAAGTTTGTCTATTTTTTTGAAAAACTCATTTTAATTCCCCCCATAAACAAATTTTACTTCACATTTTTTTTAGCTGTTCGCTGAATTGTGAAAAAAAAATTCATTTTTGGATAAAAAATATCAAAAAGGGTGAAAAAAGTTTCATTTTATTTATTTCCCCAGAACATCAAACATTCCCCCCCCCCCCTCATATATACCCTGCCCTAATCTAATCTAATACCCCTGTATTCTACAGTACACTTTATTTGATCTAATCATGTATGTTTAGGTATCCCTACCTGTGGCCTGCTGTAATATCCCTGTACTTTGCAGTACACTATATATTATCTAATCATGTGTGTTCAGGTATCCCTACCTGTGGCCTGCTGTAATATCCCTGTATTCTACAGTACACTATATTTGATCTAATCATGTATGTTTAGGTATCCCTACCTGTGGCCTGCTGTAATATCCCTGTACTTTGCAGTACACTATATATTATCTAATCATGTGTGTTCAGGTATCCCTACCTGTGGACTGCATTAATATCCCTGTATTCTGCAGTACACTATTTATTATCTTGTCATGTATGTTCAGGTATCCCTACCTGTGGACTGCATTAATATCCCTGTATTCTGCAGTACACTATATATTATCTAATCATGTATGTTTAGGTATCCCTACCTGTGACCTGCTGTAATATCCCTGTACTTTGCAGTACACTATATATTATCTAATCATGTGTGTTCAGGTATCCCTACCTGTGGCCTGCTGTAATATCCCTGTACTCTACAGTACACTATATATCATCTAATCATGTATGTTTAGGTATCCCTACCTGTGGCCTGCTGTAATATCCTTGTACTCTGCAATACACTTTATATTCTTTTCTGCTGCTTTTCATTACATACAACTCTACGGTGTAGGAACAACACAGAACAAGAAAACTTTGTGATATCTTTGTAATGTGACAATAAAGCATTTTTGTTTGGAAGAAACTGATAATTTTCCATGTACTCTAATTTTCTGATCTCTAGATCTTTGCATTGCATTGGTGTAAATCTTGTAAATTTTAAACTTTAACTTTTTTTATCAGATTACAAAGATGAAAGAATTTTAAAATCACAGTTTGGGGTAATTTATCTGTTCCTTTGATGGTTAAATGGTTTAAGAAGACGTTGGGGGTGCAACAAAAATCGTGAAAGAAATAGATTTTTTGCCATTAAATCAGATTTTGTTATTCCCACATCTTTGAACCCCGATTTTGCAGACCTTTGATATTTCAATGAATAAATTCTGTAAGATAAAATATAAAAGATTTACACCACCAGGTTACAAAGATAGTGGAATTAGAAAATTTGAGTTTGTGGCAAAAATTCAATTCCTGTGTTAGAAGACACATGTTTGGTTGGTGTTTTACTACTAAGTGTTAAACATATATTATCTATGATTTGTTGAATTTTTCAGAGAAAATGCCAACAGTAATATTATTGGACAGTAGTCTATCTATGTCAAGGCTAGCCACGCCTAATCCCAATCCTAACAGTCCCATAGAACTCTCCAGTACAGGTAGGAGCCTGGAGCATACAGGGGGTCCTAAATTAAAGGAAAAATTTGATTTTTGGTTGGAAATCAATAGGACAAAAGATGGTGAGGTTTTTTAGCCAACTATTTATCTACTGCGCATTTAAATGATAGCTTAAAAATCAAAATAACTATATAAACTGAACCTAAAATACAAAATAGGGTTGAACATTTTATTTGACGGACTTTTAAAGAATCCGTCCAAATTTTATTATCTATATTTTTGCCATTTTAAAATAATTAAAGAAGGTAGAATATATAAGAAGCATAATTATTATAACTTTATAAAAACCTGCGACATGCTTAATTTTTAAGTTCACTTCTAAAAGCACTGGCGTTGTTATTTTAAGTGCACTCCATTAGAAAAGGGGTATGTCAGTTTACAGTGATGCCGTTTTAATCTTTATCTGATCAATGATGTGGAAAATATTAAATAACGACTAGTTTTCTGTAGAACTTTTTTTTACATTTTATGTCGTCGTTATTTAATAATTTAAAAAAAAACTAATTTTGAAAACGTATCCACCCCCAAAGTAGTAGTTTTGAACATCGAATTTGTGCTCAAACTCAGGATTTACAGATCTTTAAAAGTTTTATATGTCTCAAATGAATCCGAAAGAAGTTTTCCACAACACTGCATACTCAGTTCAAAAACGTTACATACTCCCTTTAAGCTTGGAAAATGAAAATAGTCAACTTTAAGTTACACACTATTGAACCTTGTTTATTTTTGATCTAAGTTTTAATGGTACCGTTGTTAATCGGACATCCCACTCTATAAAGGGAAGAATACTTGAAATTACGTGTACAGTCTCTTTAACAGAAGTAAAATGTTTTTAATCTTCATGACAGAAACAATCTCAAGAACTGACGAGGGTCAACCCAGACCGAAATATATTTTCAATAAATGTGGAACTAACATCTACTTTTTTTACTTAGTTTTCATTGTTATATTTGACTCTTGTGACGTAGTCTATAATTGGTTAATTTCTCTGTTGCCACCTATTGTACTTGATAATCTATTTGATTATACATATAACATTATTATGTAGGTGAAGAAATGGAGCTACGACATTTAGCAGCCTACGGAATAACGCAGCTTCTTGACCAGGTATAACAAATTTCGAACATTTTCTTGGAGTTTATCTTCGCTTTAAAAAGATAGAAAATATAGCAGAGGACTTACAGGGTTACCCACAAAGAATGAAACTCCAGAGACGACTGACAGTCGTCTTTATCTTTAAATAATAAATTTGATAATATATCAAAAAACTAGGCTTTCCATCTTCTTTTTCAATTGTGAACATTTTTGTTTACGTTGTAAAGCAAAAACAAAAATGGATTTTTCAACGTTTATGGAAATTATATTTTGTTGGAGGCTAATTTTTCAATTTCGATAAGTCATAAACCTTCGCTTGGGTCATGTAAGGTCCCGAACATATTTTCATAATAATTATGATTATTCCACGAAGTAGGTGACAAATTACAATAATAAGCTGAAATAATGCAAATTGAAAACAAAAACAAAATCATATGATTTCCATTTATTATTTGTGCAGCTACATATTACAAAGAATGTGTCCAGTCATGCATTAATTCTATAAACAGGTCTCTAAAAATAAACATGATTAAAATTACTTACATCATAATATTATTGACAAATTTAAATGAAAGGGAGATATAATTAAGTTTAAAATCAGAAATAACAAATTAATTCTGGTAAGTAGGAATGTGTTCAAATCCTCCAAGAATGTGGTATTATATTACTAAAGCGCAGCACAGTCTTTCCGTGAATAATCAAAATTATTCCAGGGTTTTTCTTTCAATATTTATATATTAAGGTTGAATCCAACTGTAAACTGGAGTATGTTGCTTTAATCCAGTTTTCCTCCATCTGTGAGCTAATTGCTCCATTCTCGAGGGATATGGATCAGGTTCTTATCTCATGTTTTTCATATTATAAATTTCAAGTGACCCTCCCTTGATATCCGATTCACACTGTTACTCTTGAAAGCTTTGTCTTATCAGCAATGAATACAACGACATTTTTAACATCATATTATTAATCGGATAAAGGCTTAAATCAGTGCTCAGTATCCATTTAATTTTGATGCGGATCCGGATTTGGATCCTGGATCCGCACTGGAAAAATGGATCCAAATCCGGATCCAGGTCATTTCTTTACTGATTTACTGAATTATTTTAACAAAAAATATTTTTCAAATTTTTTGTTCTATTTTTTCGCATATTTTTATTCTAAAACTTGATAAACCATTCACAAATGAGGCAATTTGTATAATCTCTCTTTTTAAAAAAGTTTAAATTTGGGTTTTAGGAGTAAAAAAGTTCTTTTTGTAATTTTTGATCGATATTTTATCCCTTGGATCCGGATCCAGGAAGCCAAAATCTTGCGGATCCAACGAATCCGGATCCGGATCCTAAGCACCGGTTTAAATGATACCATTTTAAATAAAGGGTCACTTAAAACTACAATAATAGTTTCTTTAAGAATTTTGAATATTTTCAGATTAGATCCAAGCTTACAGTGAACTGCCAGGATAAATCTAGTTTAGAGGTTGGACTACAGGTACACTCATGCTTTTTTTTTAGAAATANAGATACTAATAGTTAATATTTTAGGGGTTGCTAGGTCTAGTACAGGAAGATACTAATAGTTAATATTTTAGGGGTTGCTAGGTCTAGTACAGGAAGATACTAATAGTTAATATTTTAGGGGTTGCTAGGTCTAGTACAGGAAGAATGGGGTTCAGCTACACCCATTACTCTTATCATAGTTACTGATGGAGGGGTAAGAACATGTTTACACTTTCATTCTAATTTAAACTTTAACTTAGTTTTCTAGTTCAGAAAAATTTATGACTGGAGCAAGATGGGACTGAGCATTTATCTAAAAATTGGTTTAATTACTAAATGAGATAAATTGAAAGTATTTTTATTGTAAAACTTTTGTTGATACCTTGCACACAATGGTTATCAAAGAATGTATATTATATCATATCTGTTCGGTTCCATAGTAGTAAAGCTATCGTTGTTTCTACTCATGAAGGGACTGGGTGCTTGAGTTGGTTTCCACTCATGAAGGGACTGGGGGCTTGAGTTGGTTTCAACTCTCGGAGGGACTGGAGGGATATTAGATTTAATTCTGAATTGATTTGGCATTAAATCATTATAATTAAATTCGGAAAAGTACATATTCTTTAAGTAACATGTTAAGATGGGAATACGTTGTCTAGGCTTAAAAATGTTAAATTCTGATAATTACCATATGTTTCCCTGGAGTAAAAATGCCGAAGTCACTAATGTAGAGAACCCAAAAAATAATCTGTTTTTACAAACTATAAAAAAAATATAAACATTGTTTGCTACTTGATACTAGATCTGTAAAGGATATACCGTTATGTATATTTGCATGGAGGGTTATTTGAAATTACACTTAGAGTCCCTGGACGGAAAGAAACCCCACTATCCCGTGTTTATCAACCCACACAGTTTTCCACTCTACCATTCATACCTCTTTTATAATTTTAACAGGGGTGTATAATTTTTAGAATACGTTTGAAAATTGGGTGTTATGGGTTTGACAAATTGGACTTCAAAAGGCAACTTTTCTCATTCTTATTATACTCTTTACAAACAAATTTATTAATTTTCCCCTAAAAACACTTTCCCCTATTAAGCAAATAAAACCCTAAAAACTGATGGGGAAAAATGAATTTCAAAAGGGTAAGGAATAAAATAATTCGAGATAATATACATCCCTGAGTTTTAACACTTTTAAACAAGATTTAAATTTTGAAAGAGGATTAAAATATCTTTAAATAAATTTCATATTCTTAATATTTGTTAATTAATGTTTTCATAATTTTAATGATTGTTATCATCAATTCAAGTGGCTTTAATTTAAACAATTCTCATTAATTGACAAAGTACCTTTTGAAAACTTATCTACGAAAATGGCCGGGTTTTTTCTGATTCCAGATAGTAAACAACTATTTAGAGCAGTACACTTAAACCTTCAAAATAAGGGAATTTATCGCAAGTTAATAGTAATAAGTAGCTGAAAATACCATTTTTCACTTGGGTTTTACAAAAAATCAAACTTTTTAAAGAAAAGTTTCGCAATCCGGGCTGAACCTCCCAAATGCAGGACGAATTGAAACCTTGTTTTGCACGAGGGAGCCTCAAGCAATCCCCAAAAGTTTGATTTGATTTGATTTGATTTGATTTGATTTGATTTGATTTGATTTGACTTGACTTGACTTGACTGGATTTGATTTGATTTGATTTGATTTGATTTGATTGACATATTGATATTGACATTGATATTTATACTGATATATCGGTATTGGTATTGATATTGATATTGATATTGATTTGATATCGGTATTGGTATTGGTATTGATATTGATATTGATATTGATATTGATATCGATATCGATATTGATATTGATATTGATATTGATATTGATATTGATATTGATATTGATATTGATATTGATATTGATTTGATATTGACATAGATATAGAAGATCATACCCGATTTATTTCTGACAATTTCATCTCATTGTTTCTTTAGCAAGAAATCCGCAAGTCGTTTTTATTGAAAATGATAATTTTTAGAAACAAGAACAGGGATAAATTACCATTTTTATTCAGGCAAAGGTTTCAAGGGACATGCCACTCTTACAATGAAACTCTTTTAAAATTGCGTGTACAGTCCTATTAAGACAATTTGTTTCAGTATATCTGTAGCGTGTATAATGGATACAGGACCTGCAGTGGATATTGCTAAAACAGCTTATAATGCTCTCTTTAATAAACTAGGTAGGATTTAAGGGTACAGATTATTAAGAAAACAACTATTTTTGATGCTCTTGAGATATTATAAAAAAATATTTTAATCATCTATTTTCATTTTTAAATTATTTTTTTTCAAATTTAGCGAGAAAAAACGGTCCTCTTAAAAATTGAAAGATTGTATAATTATTTAATATATATAACCTCCCTCTCTAGAGATTTCTAGATTTCTATAATATTACATTGCTACCGAGTTCCTCAATCAAAATTTTAAGCAAATCGGTCCAGGGGTTCAAGAGTTATGATCGGACATGCACATTGCACACTATCAAAGAGACAAACGGAGATTTCTACTTAAGTACATATATAGATATATAGGATTGATTTGATAGATAACATAATAAGATTTCTTCGAAGTTTTTTTTTAATGATCTTAAGATTTGAAGTGACATTAGAACGCTAAAACTTCTTAACTAATAATTTTAACTTCATATTTTTAAACAAATTTTGGTGAAAAAAATTGTTGTGCATATGTTAAGACAGTCAAACGGCGGGTCGGTGTTTCAAAAAAATTAGAAATGGTTAATAACTTTTTTATTAATCTTTTTTTATTATTACAGGGCTAAAATTTATTTATTTCAAAAACCCTTGAAAAATGAATGTAATAACATGTGGCACATGTCAATATTCGTCAAAAGTAAAAATATTTACTTTTGAACATTTTTCCGACGTATTTTTTAAAACTTTTTTAAAGTCTTCCCTTGCACCTTAACCATTAAAGATAGTGGTTTATTTTTTTAATGAAGAGGCCTTGAAAAATTGGACTAGGGACATGTATTTCATTCACCCTGTCTCAACTCTTAAGGGCAAAATCATGGGGGGGGGTTGGAAAACACCCCCCCCCCTCTCCATCTTTAATAGACAAAAATAGCCCAATCGGGATAGGGTTTAAGATGATATGAGAGAAACATATAAAGATTTCTTCCAAAGAAAAATAATTGTTATTTATTGATTTATAAGGCATTTTTAAAAATTGTGACCGTTTAAGAACCATTTAATAAATTCTTTTTTTTCTAGGATTAGGGAGCAGTCGGGGAAGTTTCCATAGTGTGGACGGATCCTTGAATATTAAATCCACAGAAACAATGTTTAAAGAGATATCAGCACTACACTATAATCAATGGATTGGAACTTTAGGTAAAATCTTATACAGAACAGATGAGTGGTTTCGGAGAAAATGCTCGTAAATAAAATTAAGAAAATCCGCAAAATTTTGTTTTAAATATAAGGGAAAAGACGCAGGAATGATGCATTCCTTTATAAAAAGCTGGTTTTTTGGTATGCAACAATTTTCATTTAATCCTGCCGGGATATTTTCATTGAAAGACACTTTGAAAATCTACAAAGGCAAAAAATCCGCAAAATCCGCAAGCCCTCGGGTTTATCTTTGAATCCCCTCTTTAAAAAGGAATGTCATTTACTCTCAGACAAATTAGAATCAATGGAAATTTAAACCTACGAGGGATTCAATGATAAACCCTTTTGATTAGAAGACCTTTCACAGTAATGGATAGAAAATATTTTATTTATTTATATATTTTCATTTACCGTCAAAAAGACGACAAAAACAATTTTCTGAATTTAATTATGCGTATTTTCACAAACTGTTCATCTGGTCTGTTTAAGATTTAAAGGTGTGATAGAAATAAGATATTCTCCCACTTCTGGATTTCTACACGTCTATTTTTGAGTATAAAACAGTTTCGCGGACTATTTTGAAAGGTTCTATCAGATTGCCTGTCAAAAAAAAAATCAAAAAGAAAATTAGTTTTTGCCACAAACTATAATATTTTAATTTTCCAATGTCGCAGACCTTAGATATTTCAAACTATGAATTCTGCCAGATCAAATAATACAACTTTAAAATATCAACGGTTTACTTACATCTTAAGGTTGCAAAGATAATAAGGATTAGAAAATTCTAGTTTGTGGCGCAAAGACTCAATTCCTTTCATACATATTTTTAAAAACTTAGTTTACTAAAGAATGCTGTACTCTTATGTACTTTTCTGTACTCTACCGTACTCTGCTGTATTCTACTGTGCTCTACTGTACTCTATTGCAATCTACTTCTACTTTACCCTACTTCTACTGTACTCTATCTCGCCAATGACCCTTATTTCTAGAGATGGGAGATAATATGTCCTGTAAGGTCCAGGTTTGTCCTCCTCCTAAACCTTATTCTAAAGCTGAGGATTTTACTGTAGTAAAACGAGAGCTCTCTTCTACTCTATCAATCAAGGGAAAACATGATGCATTATTTATTCTTTAATTTTCTTTTTTTCTGGTTTCTCATGAATTATTTTGATAAATTTAGTTTTTTGTTGTTTTATTTTTCCTTTGAGAAAAAAAAGAAAATTATCAGTTGGTTGTGATGAAATTTCATTATTACTTAACAGAACACCCTGTTTAACCAGAAATCCAGGGAGATTTCATTATTACTTAACAGAACACCCTGTTTAACTGGGAGATTTCATTATTACTTAACAGAACACCCTGTTTAACTATATATTTTTACCAGAAATCCAGGGAGATTTCATTATTACTTAACAGAACACCCTGTTTAACTATATATTTTTACCAGAAATCCAGGGAGATTTCATTATTACTTAACAGAACACCCTGTTTAACTATATATTTTTACCAGATATCCAGGGAGATTTCATTTAAGATACACTGATCATTGTGTTGTTTATTTTCTCATGCATATCGCTAGCTGTCCTTTTTATCTCTAGATTTTACTGATAAATCACCGAAACATGATTTTTTAATAGGTTTTTATTTTTTAATTAGATTTTTCGTATTGAGACAACGAAATCAAAAATTTGGGATTGTTTACAGATATTGCCTAATGCAGAAGCAGCTTTTCGTGTTTGTTCAGGGGAGGGGGATGGGGGGGGGGGCTAAATTTAATTCCTTTCAGCTAATTCGATTTTTGTTCTGTTTTGATTTTGGTTTCCTGAATCATACAAAGGGTGTTTTCAACTAGTCTTAAGGAATTCAACTTTTTGGAATTATTTATAAATCATGTTTTCGTTTTCAGGGATTTTTATCACAGGCAAGTAAAAAATGCAAAGATATATATTAATATGTAAAAAATTGCAAAGATCTATAATAAATAAGTTAAAAAATGCAAAGATGTATAATAAATAAGTTAAAAAATGCAAAGATGTATAGTAAATAAGTTAAAAAATGCAAAGATGTATAATAAATAAATAAATTGCTTAGATGGATAATAAATTAGTTAAAAAACGCAAAGATGTATAATAAATAAGTAAAAAAATTGCAAAGTTGTTTGATAAATAAGTAAAAATATTGCATAGATGTATAATAAATAAGTAAAAATATTGAAAAGATGTATTATAAGTAAGTAAAAAATGCAAAGATGTATAATAAATAAGTTAAAATGCAAAGATGTATAATAAATAAGTAAAAAAATTGCATAGATGTATAAGAAATAAGTTAAAAATGCAAAGATGTACAATAAATAAGTAAAAATATTGCTAAGATGTATAATAAATAAGTAAAAAAATGCAAAGATGTATAATAAATAAGTTAGAAATTCAAAGATGTATAATATATAAGTTAAAAATGCAAAAATGTACAATAAATAAGTTAAAAAATGCAAAGATGTATAATAAATTAATTTTAAAATGCAAAACACATGGGGAATAAGTTTTAAAATGCTAAGATGTATAATAAATAAGTAAAAAATGCAAAGCTGTATAATAAATAAGTAAAAAAAATTGCAAAGCTGTATAATAAATAAGTAAAAAAATTGCAAAGCTGTATAATAAATAAGTAAAAAAAATTGCAAAGCTGTATAATAAATAAGTAAAAAAATTGCAAAGCTATTTAATAAATAAGTAAAAAAATTGAATAGATGTATAATAAATAATTTATAATTTTTTAAAATAAATACGGAAGGAGGAGTTAATTTAAACTGAAAATTACATTTTTTGTTTTTTATTATAATTTTTATCACATCTGTTATTACTATACAGTACTAAATCAATACCATTATTTTTTTTTTTATATTATTATTATTATATTAATCTTTCCCAGGCTGATATATCTAGTCCACCTGTATACTCTAAGCATCTTATACTCCCAGTATCAGGGACTAAGGACAACAAGGGAGGTTTTAAAAATATTTGTTGTCTTTATTGTGATTTACCCCTCCTTCTTTTCATTCGTCTATTTTTTCTCCCCTCCTCTAATGGATATTAATGTTTTAAATGTTTTATATTCAACCCCTCTGGGGTAAAAAATCATACTAGAGAAATCTTGCTAGAGGTTAAAGAGTACTATTCAGTGCGTAAAAAAGAACCGAGTCTCTCCCACTCTGATTTTTTAATCCCTATATCTTTGCAACCATGATTTTTGGTAGATCAATTAATCAAAGATTGAAATATCAAAGGAGTTCAGGTTGCAGAGATATTTGGACGAAAAAAATTTATTTTGCGGCTAAAACTCATTTTCTTTGGCCTCGGTTCTTTTGTCAAGATCTTTTCTCTTTATCCTTGTATTTTCAACATTTGTCCTTGTAATTTTCAAAACTGCTTTTAAATATCCTCTCCCTTCAAATAGATTTTAAAATTCATAAATTCCTTGAAGGAAGAAAAGTTTTAAACCTCTGGAACTAGGATGATAAAGAGAACAATGAGCTAAAGGACGATGATACAAAAAATCCAAACATCTGCGTCTTTCTTCATGGAGCTCTTAAGGTAGGTTAATGGGGCAGATAGATGAACAATCAGAAAGACAGATCGATCTGTTGAGTAGATTTCAATAGACATTTTTTAGTTTGAATCTTGGATTGATTTGTTTTTTAGACAGATTTTTATCGAGACAGATAAACCAAAAGACAACTAGACCAATAGATGTTTAAAGGGAGTGACCGGCAATGTATAGTAGTTGCAGTGTTGTAGAAAAAAATTTTAGGATTCATTTGAAACATATAAAACGTTTTAAAGATCTATAATTACTGATATTGAGCGCAAAGTCGACATTCAAAATCATAATTTTTTTATATTTCGTAAATAACGACGACAAAAAATATTGTAAAAATTCTATAGTTAACTAATTAGATGTTCAGGAACATATTTCTAAAATGAAATTTGTCAATAAATCAATGTTAGAATCAATTATTTCGTTTTCATCATTATATTAAATTTCTTATTTTCTTTGAATTTGTTCGCAAATTTCTACAAATTCTTCAAATGTCGTCTTTTCTATAAATATTCCAGAAAATCGGCAGAAAATCTTTTGAATAATGAGAGATTATAGAAACTAATATTTAAAAAAAAAATACTTATTTATGATAATAAGAGTTTATTTTTATTTTCTCAGTCTGTTCCTATACAACAATTAGTTTACTGTAGAATTTTTGTTACATTTTTTTGTCGTCGTTATTCAATAATCTAAAAAACGATGTAAAACGTACCCACCCAAATTGATTATTTTGAACGTCGACTCAGACATTTTATATGTTTACAAATGCATCCTAAAAACTTAGATACAGGTACAAGATTTCCCTGTTCCAGCTTGAGAATATGTGTGCTCTGGTTGAGGTTGGAGAGGATTGGTTTGGGTTTATATACTCCTGGAGCGATACAAAGAAGAAATCATCTCTGATGTTGTCTATCCTAGAACCTGGAAACATGTCCGTTCCCTGGCTAGGATCTATCAATAGATTAGGAACAGTATCATTTTCTCATATTTTCGACATCCCCCCCCCCTTGGCCCCCACATGACAAGATATTTAACTGTGCATTTAACAAAAATAACTAATTATAATTCATTTAATTATTGTTCATAATATTATTAATCTTGAATAATTTACACTTTAAAACATACTTGATTACTATGCATGGTACAGGACCAGCCAGTGATCTCAACGAAACCCTTAGTTCTCCGTTTCCGGTCAAATCAGACAGGTATTTTCTCATCTTTTTAATTCTTTTTTTGTATCAATATAATTGATTTTCAAACATCCTGGAGAATAAAAAATTATACATTAACGGTCAACTAGCGACTTTGCACTTATCAATACTCAAAAATTTATTTATTTTTCCCAATTCAACGGAAAAACCTATAAAAACATATCAAGCTAAGCTTCAAAGGAACTGTATATTGCGTATAAGAAAAGATAAAGTTCTGCGAGAGAAAAAAAACTTATTGCATATTGGAGTAAAATCTCTCGCTTTGGCGAACTTTTTTGTTTCTCCCATATCTTAAAACATAATATATTTCATGGTCATCAAAATCTGTTTATTTATTTATTTTTCATAATCTGAAAAAACTGTGGCTTTATAATTAATGATTAATTATTGATTTAAAACTAATAAGTATCAATAATGAATAAATAAATTATATTTTAGAAAACCTAGTTACAGCAGCTGTCCTGTGGTTTGGATCAAACAGTCAGGAATACAATCAGATAATCAGAAGGTTTGGATATTTGTTCATTTAACTTTGGTCTTACAAATAAATCTAGCTCTTGGCCACGCTAGAAAACTTCCATTCAATCTATTAATATTATAGGTTCTACGCCACGCTAGAAAACTTCCATTCAATTTATTATAATATTATAGGTTCTACGCCACGCTAGAAAACTTTAGTTCAATCTATTAATATTATAGATTCTACGCCACGCTAGAAAACTTCCATTCAATCTATTGATATTATAGGTTCTACGCCATGCTTGAAAACTGTCATTTAATCTAATAATATTATAGATTCTACGCCACGCTAGAAAACTGCCATTCAATCTATCAATATTATAGGTTCTACGCTACGCTAGAAAACTTCTATTCAATCTATTAATATTATAGATTCTACGCCACGCTAGAAAACTTCCATTCAATCTATTAATGTTATAGATTCTACGCAACGCTAGAAAACTTCCATTCAATTTATTAATATTATAGATTCTACGCAACGCTAGAAAACTTCCATTCAATCTATTAATATTATAGAATCTACGCAACGCTAGAAAACTTCTATTAAATCTATTACTATTATAGATTCTACGCCACGCTAGAAAACTTCCATTCAATTTATTAATATTATAGGTTCTACGCCACGATAGAAAATTTCCATGCAATCTATTAATATTATTGAATTTACGCAACGCTAGAAAACTGCCATTCAATATATCAATATCATAGGTTCTACGCCACGCTGGAAAACTGTTATTCCATCTCTTTTTAAACTTTAATTTCGACTAATGATTAACATTTTTTAAACTATTATATACATACATACACATTAGTCAGGACTTATTTAGCCGTTAATGGCTGTTTAAATGACAACCCCTTCACAAAAAATGACAACAAATTTAAAGCAAAGAAAGTAAGGATAATTAATATAATTTATAACTTTATAGGTTCTACGCCACGCTAGAAAACTTCCTGAGAAAACTCAACATTTTTACAAAGAGTTGAATAGATTAAAAAGAGCTGCCGTGTGTCTCGGGTGAGTGGGTCAAAAACAGTTATTTTTAAAAAAAGATTTACTGAAAAAATATTGCTAAAAATATAAATATGTAGATTTATATATTTGGCTAAATATCATAGCAAGAAAATTATCAAGTGATATTATTTTACAATTTTATTTAGTCAGAAATAAGAGGCCCTTTTTAGCGATAAATACTTAAAAAAAAAAATAAAACGATATGAAAAAAGAATGTTCCAAAGGGAAAGGTTATAAAGGAGTAGATATTGTATTGAAGAATAAAATGGAAAGACTATAAAGGAGTAGATATAGTGTAGAAGAATAAAGGAGAAATTAAATCAATCAAAATAAGCAAGGAAAGCAGTTTTGATTTAGACAATGAAAATTATTATGTTCTGAAAGAAAACTATTATTTGAACTAGTTATAAAACTGTTTAAGCAACTTTAAGATTTACTTTCCAATGGAATTTACAAAAGTAGCGGAAACTCATTTTTCTAATGGTAATTCGCCATTTTTTCTTTACTTCAAATTTGTTTAAATACTAATGTTTTTTTGGAAAACGTTCTACTTATGAGAAAATCTAGTAAATACCCATGGGGTTAGTTCTTATATATATATGCGAAATGCTTTATTATATTAAAGATAGTAAATTTAATTGGTTTAGTATTTGTATTCATTAGTCCGGAACGTTTTGTGCATAGCAGTATTATACAAATCATCGAAAAATCACATGGAGAAGGACTTCGAACTTCTGAATCACAGATTTAGTTTCTTGTTCCCGCATTTTCATTTTTCTGTGGAAGACGATATTTAATCTCTACAGTTATTTATGTTAGGTTCTATGAACTGTTGGAAGGAGTTGCTCAGATCTGTGAACGTGAATGTGGTCTTCTGCCGCCAAATGTCAGTCCAGATTGTGCTATACAACTGACCTATGTAGCTCAGGTATACTTGATAAATTACCTCCTGATGTTAGTCCAGATTGTGCTATACAACTGACCTATGTAGCTCAGGCATACTTTACATAATACCTCCTAATGTTAGTACAGATTATGCTGTTCAACTAACCTATGTAGCTCAGGTATACTTGATAAATTACCTCCTGATGTTAGTCCAGATTGAGCTATACAACTGACCCATGTAGCTCAGGTATACTTGATATAATACCTCCTACTGTTAGTCCAGAATGTGCTGGTCAACGAACCTATTTAGCTCAGGTATACTTGATAAATTACCTCCTAATGTTAGTCCAGATTGTGCTATACTACTGACGTATGTAGCTCAGGTATCCTTGATATAATACCTTCTAATGTTAGTCCAGATTGTGCTGGTCAACGAAGCTATGTAGCTCAGGTATACTTGATATAATACCTCATAATGTTAGTCCAGATTGTGCTATACAACTGACCTATGTAGTTCAGGTATACTTGTTATAATATCTCCTAATATTAATCCAGATTATGCTGTTCATCTGCCCTTAGTAGCTCAGGTATACTTGATATAATACCTCCTAATGTTAGTCCAGATTGTGCTATATAACTGACGTATGTAGCTCAGGTATAATTGATATAATACCTCCTGATGTTAGTCCAGATTGTGCTGTTTAACAAACCTATGTAGCTCAAGTATAATTGATATAATGCCTCGTGATGTTAGTCCAGATTGTGCTGTTCAACAAACCTATGTAGCTCAGGTATAATTTATATAATACCTCCTGATGTTAGTCCAGATTATGCTGTTCAACTGACGTATGTAGCTCAGGTATACTTGATAAAATACCTCCTAATTTAGTGCAGATTGCGCTGTTCAACAAACCTATGTAGCTCAGGTATAATTGATATAATACCTCCTGATGTTAGTCCAGATTATGCTGTTCAACTAACGTATGTAGCTCAGGTATACTTGATATAATACCTCCTGATGTTAGTCCAGATTGTGCTATACAACTGACCTATGTAGCTCAGGTATACTTGATATAATACCTCCTAATGTTAGTTCAGATTGTGCTATACAACTGACCTATGTAGCTCAGGTATACTTGATATAATACCTCCTAATGTTAGTTCAGATTTTGCTGTTCAACTGACCTATGTAGCTCAGATATACTTGATATAACATGCCTGTTTTAACTCTGTTTATGGCCTGATACTTTGTTAACATGCTTATTGCTTATTTATAATGTTGCCAATATTTTGGAAAGCTTATATAATATAGATTTTCCATATTTTAGAAATTAATTCCTTAGCTTTTTTTTAAAATTTAAGTACTGAGTATCTTCAAAAATACATTCGTTTACGATATTTTTCTGAAGCAAATCCTATATCTGTATTTGTTTCAGGTGTTGAGATCTCAAGAATGTTACAGTGTAAACCACTCAATTCTACCCCGAGTAACAAACTTTAACGCGGGGAAAATATAAACAAGTGTTTCCATGAGTTACGTCTACTATTTTAACTATCTATCTATCTAAATATGTTACGTCTAACGGTCTACTATTTCAACTATCTATCTATCTAAATATGTTACGTCTAACGGTCTACTATTCCAACTATCTATCTATCTAAACCTGTTACGTCTATTATTCCAACTATCTATTTATCTAAATATGTTACGTCTACTATTTCATCCATCTATCTATCTATCTATCTATCTAAATATGTTACGTCTACTATTTCAAATATCTATCTATCTAAATATGTTACGTCTACTATTCAAACTGTCTATCTATCTATACATGTTACGTCTAACGGTCTACTATTCAAACTATCTATCTATCTGAACTGAAGTACCTGAGTACACTGCTGTTTTGTAACTGTATTTTGTAAAGCTGTACATACAAATAAAATATAAATTAAGCATCAATCTATTTTGTTTTATTCCAATGAAAAGGTCAGATTGTTTAAGCTTTATAATCATGTAGAGATGCAAAGTTTAAAAAGATATTATATTCAAGTATTAGTTTACGATCAATTTTTAAACAAAGAATAGTTTCGCAGTGCACAGGATCCTTTTAATTTCAATCATGCGGATCCGGATCTGAATCCCGGATCAGTTCTGTATACAAATAGGATTAAAATGTGAATCCGTCCTGTATACAAAAATGGATTATAATGTGAATCCGTCCTGTGAACAAATTGATCCGGATCTGAAACCAGCGAACGAATAATTCTTAAACTTTTAACCATCAAATTGATTTACCAATTAATTATTAGCAACAAATTTAATCCTATTTCATTTTTTACCATAAAAAATTATGCTCAAAGAGAAAAACACGGTCCGATGTTTGAATTCGGATCCGTGGTCCGCATATTTTTGCTACAAATGTTGCAGATACTAAGAACTGATCATAAGAATGACCTACAATACCCACACAGTTATTTTCTTTGTAAAGCCCACCCCCCTCCCCGTACACATAATTCCCAGATAGAGTTTGAGTTTTAGTGTTCTTATACATTTGAGTCTTTTCCTCAAACCCTGAATTTCTAATTGCTATATCTTTGCAATCTGCAATGTTGTAGAGTGTAGACCTCAGATATTTCAAACTATGAATTCAATTAGATCAAATAATATTTAAATATCAAAGGTTTAAACCATCAGGTTGTGAAAATCCTTACTGTCACATTATTCTAATCACCAAACACAAATTTACCTTCCTCACATGGATCCAGACTTCTGTAAAAAACTCACCAATATTCAAGACAGGGTCGACATGAAGTGCCGCAACGCACTAGCCTTAGATTTTACATCACTAACCAAATTTTTTTTTTTTTTAGCCCTAGACATCTACATTTTAAGCCTGTCAAGCACTGTATAACTTAAGTTTTTAAAAAGTAATTAGCAAAAAAAAACAATTTTTGCGTTAGGGCTTGCAACCTTTGGATTACCGTGTCCTTACACCTAAGAAAATCATTTTCACTTAGGAGCGATTCTTAAATCTTAGACATAACTTTTTGTGAATATTGGACCTTTATGAAATCATTCAATTCGAAGTCCTTATGTTTAATAATTGAAAACGCAAATATGAAGAGATTCCGCAGATAAATTCAGCCGACTACCCCCTTCGTAAAAAAGTAAGAATACTTCTTGTAACTTACATTTTTCTGTTGGAATATATATCTTAAGGAGGTTTATTGCGCTTTGTTGAAAAGCGTTTGGTCAGAACACTTATTTGGAAAAAATTATTAAATATATCGTATTCGTGTTACATTAAAATTGAGGGGGTTAAACTGAGGGAGTTTACTTCAGCTTGTTTGACAAAAAATTAGGAATTAACATAGAAAATAACAAATTTTATCGTGATAGTGTGATGTGATCAGGGGCGTGTTCTGGGGGGCAACCCTGTGTGCCCCCTTGACATGCCCCCCCCCTAGAACCTAATATATTAAACTTACACTTTTTTGTCTTATCAATTGACAATTTGTCCATTTTATGATAATTTCTCAAATTCTTTCATTAGACATCAATGTTATTATCGGGGTTTTATTTAAAATCTAAATCTGAGTTTAAGATGTTTGACCCAGAGTTGAGGGTAGATGTAAATAGCCCCCAAATCAAAATTCCGGTAGTATGTTACTTTTTCCCGGTTTCTTTGAGCCTTCAAAAAATTAAAAAAGAAAGAAAATACAAATGATCCACTTCTGATAAGAGAACGCGTGTGCGTTTTCAAATGCAAAGATTCAAAAAATCCCCCCCCCCCCCGAGGCTGAACCTCCAGTAAGCCCCTGGATGTTACCTGTTGATTGTTGTCTGTTGAATACAATTAAATACTATTATTTATGTTGTTTTAAACTAATCTTATTTTCTTATTTATATTTTTATTTATGCAACAATACTGTACAGATGCAAAAATTTTATTTCTATTATTTCTTAAATTGTACATATTTGTTAATTTAAAAGTTTACTTTGACATTTCTTACAAAATTTTCATTTTCCCATCCTCAGATCTCTCCAGAGCCCAAGGAGGGGCCTCAGCTCCTCTCGTCTTCTTCTGCAAAAAAAAAACAATTGTTAATAATTATTCTTATATGAAATAAAAGTTTAAAACCGTTCCTTTCCTATCTAATTATCTATGGATAAAAAGAGGGAGTGCAGAGCCGCCATGCGCCCCCGCGAAATGACCTCCGGACCTCCTGATACGCAGAATCACCTCCAAGCCTCAAACAACCGTCTCCGCCATGCCCCTCTCTACGTCTCCAAACCTCTGTCGCGGTACTTGGTGGTGATTCTGCGTACAAAAGGTTCCGTAGGTAATTTCTCAAATTGAGAGCTTTTTCAGAGTCTTTGTAAGTAACGGAGAAATTGTGAATACAGACTTTACTTATTCTTTTAATAAATTGTAGACAACTCCTCGATCCATCTCAAGCAGTAAGAGATGAAAAGAGGATGCACCCACATTTCGGAAATCCCACGATTAGAATGTTGATTCACAAAAGAATGCTGATAAAAGAGATTCAAAATAGGATTAAATTTTTTTTGTCCACCTTGTATATTCGTGCTTTTTACCTTGCTCCCGCAACCTCCTTGGCCCTAGCAGTACGCATTTTTTCCTACAACAGTAAAATGATGAAAATGTAATGAAATATTTAAAAAAACATAATAAATACAATGAAGCTTTCCTCAATAAGACTTCTTATGGTTATTCTTGTTTTTCTACAAACAGAAAACTTTAAATGGGAAGACGACTTTTGACTCATGTTATGACTTTAAATAGACCAACGAACATGAGAGTAATTGTTCAGTGTAAACAGAACAATTTTACTTAATACGAGATTTGATATTATTTGCTATATAACAACATTAAATTCACTTGTTAATAGCTTTAACGTCGTCTTTCTACTCCACATTTGTCTGGTTATTACTGTATAGAAATGAAATATGTAAAATACAGAGAGAAAATGAAAACTAACCGCGAGGGCTAGGATAATCTGTGCCTCGAATACTCCAACAGGAAGAGAAGGAACCAGGCTTCTTTTCTCACCAACAGGGAACACCTAGAAGGATATTATAGAAATGTTTAGATATTTAAAGGGACTGTACACGTAATTTCATGTAATCTGATACATTTATAAAAGAGAACCGTTAAAACTTTGTTTATCCAATACAAGAGACAAATACATGTTTTAATAACTTTGTAAATTCACTATTTTCAATAATTGTGGTTTCAGATTTCTGATGGAGAAAATTTTCAGAATTAAACCTTTTTCAAACTAGAAAACGACAATATTAAGTTTACATTATCGATCAGAGAAAGGTTTAAAGGGTAATTGTTGTGAATCGGGAGTGCCCCCAGCTCTTTTACTTTAGGGTTACTTAAAATTACGAGGACATTCTCTTAAAGTACGCCATTAACGATTCTGGATAATGGCGTACTTTAAGAGAATTACCGATACTGGATAATGGCGTACTTAAATATATAGACAAAAAATTATTGATTTTTACAGTGTACAAAATAATTTTACAATTTGAATTTAATAACTTTTAGAGGTTTAACCCTATACAGCCTGACGTCTGCAGTTTACCCAAAATAGTCTGGGGGGGTCCCGGGACCCCCCCCCTCTATTTCCTTATTTTTAAAACAAATCTTCAACAAATGATGCATTTTGGGATAGCACTTGGGCTCTACTTTAATCATCTGCAAAAAAATGGCATATTTGCAAAATTTCAAATATTTATTTAAATTTCAAGTTATTAAGCAAAAAATATGCAAATCAAAAAGCGCGTGAATTATGATAAATTATACATTTTTGAAAACCCCTTACCACAGTCAATTTTAATATGCTAAAATTTTTGAAAAATGTTCAAAAACTAAATTTTTATTCAAGGAAAACTGAAAACATGCAAATTCTCTATAAAGGCATCCGTAAAAAAAAAAATCTATGAAAATTTTTTCGCAAAAATTGTGCAATCCATGCTTCCTTTTGTGCAAGGTTTTCAAAAGAGCTAGTTATAAAAAGTCAAAATCCAATGTTCAGAAGTAGGTCTAAATATAGATTTAGTCGGGTAAAGGTAAAATAAGGTATTCAGGCAGTAGGTTTAAAAGCCCCGCTTTGAGCCTAAAGTGAGGGGCATGTGTAAGTTAGAAAGTAAAAAATGTTAAAGCCTAATATCAATACTTTTTGATTTATCTCCAAAAAGCGTCAGGGGGCGGGCCGGGTCTCAGCCCCCCCCCCAACCCGAACAGGGTTAGCGAATTTTGATTATAAGGACTCACAGTGATGAAAAGGTGGTAATTCATACAAAAATAAAAATAAAAAATTGTTCTTGAAAATGGTATAGAAAATTGATGCAACTTTTCACTAAATCATATAAAACCCCAATTTTCCGGATAAATAAAATTCAAGTCTCTGGCCATGAGTGCATGCAGCTTTAAACATCTAATGAAATTAAGTCTGGAAGATAAAAGACGACTTTTAGTAAACGGCGTTGTATCCACTTGAAAATAAAAACGGTTCTGACCTGGTCCTGGTACTCCATCTGACCCATAACTTTGGCAGACTTGACAAGGAGAACAATAAACGTGAGAAGGAATAGAACCCTGAATTATAAGATCCATTCTAAATTGTACTCAATAAATATTTCCCTTTCAGCTAACTTGGCTCACCCCTTTTACCCAACAGTTAACCTTATAAAACCTGACTCTTACGAGGTTTATCATTACTTTCCTGTCATTTACCAGGTTTTCTCATTACTTTCCTGTCATTTACTGCAGGGTTACCATTACTTTCCAGTCATTTACCAGGGTTACCATTACTTTCCTGTACTTTACTGCAGGGTTACTATTACTTTCCAGTCGTTTACCAGGTTTTCTCATTACTTTCCTGTCATTTACCATGTTTACAATTACTTTCCTGTCATTTACCAGGTTTATAATTACTTTCCTGTCATTTACCAGGTTTACCATTACTGTCCTGTCAATTACCAGGGTTACCATTTTCTTCCTGTCATTTACCAGGTTTACCATTACTTTCCAGTCGTTTACCAGGTTTTCTCATTACTTTCCTGTCATTTACCAGTTTTTCTCATTACTTTCCTGTCATTTACCAGGTTTACAAATACTTTCCTGTCATTTACCAGGTTTATAATTACTTTCCTGTCATTTACCAGGTTTACAATTACTTTCCTGTCATTTACCAGGTTTATAATTACTTTCCTGTCATTTACCAGGTTTACCATTACTTTCCAGTCGTTTACCAGGGTTACCATTATTTTCCTGTCATTTACCAGGTTTACCATTACTTTCCTGTCATTTACCAGGTTTACCTTTACTTTCAGTTTCCTGTCATTTACCATTATTTTCCTGTCATTTACCAGGTTTGCCATTACTTTCCTGCTATTTACCAGGTTTACCTTTACTTTCAGTTTCCTGTCATTTACCTTGGTTACCATTATTTTCCTGTCATTTACCAGGTTTATCATTTTACTTGGAATGCCATGTTTAGAAAATATTTTCCTTTTTGATTTTTATCTCATTTTATAAAGTTAAATATGATGAAAACTGAACTGAAAGTATCGTACCGACTTGTAAGTTGTAGGCAGCTAGATCAAGAATTAAAGTTATATATACAGACCATAGACTAAACACGGGAGAGTACACCAAATAAATTGTCCTCTATAGAAAGATTGTATGGTAGGGGACGCTTTAAAAAAAGGTCTCTTTAATTTTGAAAAAATTACCTGAGCATGTTTATGTATTGTTGAATGAAGAGTGTTGAAGGGAATGGTTTTCTCTTCTTTTCTCACCACTCTTTTATACCGCAGACATTTATTTATGGAGACCATGCTCTTAAAGGGAGTATTCACGTTTATTTATGGAGACCATGCTCTTAAAGGGACTATTCCCATTTATTGATGGAGACCATGTTTTTAAAGGGACTATTCACATTTATTCATGGAGACCATGCTCTTAAAGGGACTATTCACATTTATTCATGGAGACCATGCTCTTAAAGGGACTATTCACATTTATTTATGGAGACCATGCTCTTAAAGGGACTATTCACATTTATTCATGGAGACCATGCTCTTAAAGGGATCTCAATGACATAAGAACAGCCAATATTCACAACCGACCTTATTAATCTATAGAATAGGAATATCTTTAAAACATCTCATTTATATCTTTCAAGATGAAAAATATCGTCTTATGCGCAATCTATCTTTATCTATGAAAGGAACTGACTAATAGTCAGGTAGATTAATATAGATTTTAAGCTTTATACGGTTTTTTCAGGGGGATGAACAAACAAATTTTTCGCCAAAACTTCACCCCCTAGGGCTAGGCTAAACCTCCACTATAACGCCCCTGACTGCAGGTGCAGACACTTTAACATCCTTCTTTGTTTTACACTCTATAAGACGCCCGATAAATTAAATAATGATGTCTTAAATTGCCATGAATACATAATTATACAGGCGCGGATCCGGGGGGGGGGTCAAGAGTATTTTTTGACCCCCCCTTTTCTGGAGATGAACCTAAAAGTTTACTGTAACTTGTTTTCCAGCAGATACTTTAATATGCTTTAACAAAAAGCCAGCATGAACGATGACAGATTTAATGATCTGGCCCTATAATGAACATTCATAGAGACATCTTAGAAACCGTAAAACCCACAAAAGTGTTAAAAGCTTTTATAGACAAAAATATCCGTAAAATTGAATTAAATATATTCAATAGGTTCAGGGTTTATTTATCTTCATTTTTTTAACAAAAAAAACTAATTATAAAATGCATAACAAAGTTGACAGGCTTTCTTTATTCTGGAAGATTAGATCTTATATCTTTATACAAACTTTACTTTTAATCCTCATGTTTAGTAGTTTACATATAAATAATCTTTTTTTTATTTTAATAGGGATGGGCAATATCCAGATTCATTTTACAGGAACTTTTATGTTTTTAGACTTTTAAAAGATATTACGACAATATGAGAAGGTTCCAACATTTTAAAACTTTATTCTGTAGAAGTTTACCAAACATGCAAATTTGTTACCTTCGAAGAAAATATAAGGAATAAATTATAGTTTTTGGGTTTTTAAAACGATCATTTTTAGTTCGTTTTTGCCTTATGTTTTCACCTAGGATAACAAATTTGCATGTTTGATTAGTAAACTTCTAACGAATCTAGCAATTGCCCATCGCTATATTTAAACCTACAGGAATAACCACAAAGAATAGGAGTTAAGGACATATTTAAACTCTACAATCTTGAAATCGCATCCTTTGGGGTAACTTGTAATTCTTAATTAGTCACATGAAAACAGAAAAAACACCTTGAACCTTTTGCAATTACTATATATCTCAATCTTAAACAATATGTAAAGTTGTAATAAGAAATTATGTAATGCCATGGAAATGGAAATATATTTTTTATAGAGTAATATATCTGAGGGAAAAATTTTTAAGTGCAGCTCTATAAGGTAGAAATTAGAAATATTTTTACAAACTATAAGAGTAATTTTTTTCTGTTTATGAGCACATATACTCACTTTTAATGCTTATTTCTTTTAAAAAAATGCGGGGGGCTACGCCCCCCTCGCTCACTACGTTTCGCTCGGTAGTCGGTAGTATACCCAATATCATTCAGACTTTGACCCCCCTGTTTAAAAAGAGCTGGATCCGCCCCTGATAATATATATATATACATATTTGAGTTACGAAAATATATGTGATTTTAGATTTATACTTCTAATATAAGTGTCGTGTTAATTACAATTATCATTTTAAATTGTCCGCAGTTTTTTTTTGAGCCGGACTATAACATTACATTTCATGCAGACAAACTCATTAGTCCCCCCAGTGCACTCCCTCGTTCAGTTACTATTCCTCAGTTAACCCCCCCCCCCTCACTTCTCCTTTGCCTGTGGTTTTAGGTGCAGACTGGTATTAGGTATAAATGCGTGAGTGTCCGTACGCCCGTGACGTCACAGCCATGGCGCGGTCCGTCCTTTTCAACCCGCAGTTGAGTGTAAACTACGATGCGACAAGGGGAGATAGTGTGTGATATTTTGACAGGGGTTTAGCTATGCCCCGAAGTCAGGGGAGACCTGACGAATTGCCCCTCCCCACAGGATGGGACTTAGGGCGTGATTATGACGGAAAAGTGTATTTTATTGATCATAATACAAAGAAAACGACATGGATTGACCCCCGAGACAGGTAGCTGGAACATTTTCTCACTTATATAATAAATTACTAACATTTCTGCGTTTCTATAATGCTATTTTAAAATGTATTAAAATTAAATGGAAATATTCGTGTTTATAATACGTGAAATAAATTAACTAGGGGTGAAAATAACCTAAAACCTGTTTTAAAAAGTTTGGAATGTGGTGCAGAACACTGGCGCCGCCGTACGGCAGGAATGCGCGACTTATCTATGATTGAAGATAGGTTAGAGATAGATAAACAGATAGATAGATGCACTGCAGATAGATGGATAGATACCCAGGCATATGTATGGAACACACAAAGCACACTTATACAGAACATAAAGCTCATTGTGTTAATATTCATAACTACATGAATGCAACATTTTAACTAAGCAAAATATTACCGACAAGAAAACTAATATTTCGTTATAATTATCCCGCATAATGTTTACCCGTAAGAAAATTTTTTGAACTCCAGTCGCAGAGTTTTTTTTAGAAATTATGCATAATTTTTTTTGAGAATATAAAATACAAATCAGAGCAAAAAAAGATTTTTTTGTAATTTCCTAGAGAACAATTTTTGGACCCCCTCCCCCCCTCCTATCAATTTTGTACATGGATCTCATGGACATAATTGATCATGTGGCCGCAGTGCCCTGCCCCCTAGCCTGTTCTAGCCGCGGTGCTCGGCCCCCTAGCCTGTCCTAGCCGCAGCACTCGGCCCAGATGAAATAAGTTATAAAAAATAACGAACTCCTCGCCCCCTAGCCTGTCCTAGTCGCAGCACTAGGCCCAGAATTATTTTAGCCTAACCTTATCCTGGGTCTGTCCTAGTAACGATTTTTGGACCCTTCCCAGCCCACCCCCCCTCTCCTATCAATTTTGTACATGACGAAATTAGTAAATTAGTGTTTATTTATTATTATTTAGGGTTAGGTTAGGTTAAGACGCTTTCTGGGCCGAGCGCTGCGGGTAGGATGGGCTAGGGGGCCGAGCGCTGCGGCCACGGGTTAGGTTAGTTAAGACACTTTCTGGGCCGAGCGCTGCGGCTAGGACAGGCTAGGGGGCCAAGCGCTGCGGCCACATGGTCAATTATATCCATGTCTAACATATTAGATCCATGTACAAAATTGATAGGAGGAGGGGCCTGGGGGGGGGTCCAAAAATCGTTCTCTAGGAATATACCCTTATCCTAAAGTAATAAATAAATATGTATTAGTTATTATGTTGGAAATTTGTATTTAGAAAATGCAATATAGTATATTTTAATTTACAAAAATTTATTTTATTCTCGAAAAGGAAAAAAAGGTGCCCAATTGCTCAAAACATACGAATCAAATATGATGTTACAACTTATTTAGGTGTTATTCCATTAAGCTAGGAATTTATGTTCATTATTTTGAGGCATGTTATTGTGTAATAATTAAATATAACAATTTATTTTTACAAAAGGTTGAATTTTTTCAACATTTAAATCATTCTAGTTTAAGAGAAATTTTGTCAACAAATGTCTAAAATTGGACTATGTCTCTTCTTTAATAAAAGGCCATGTATGGTCATAAAAAATACGTTAAAATTCTTTAAATAAGGAAACTATTTACCCCAATGATTTTTGAAGTATTTTCAAGAGAAAACGATCTCAAAGGGTATCAAAATTTTCTAATCCTTTTTTTCAACCTTCAGTATTTGCGCTTACAGAATTAATAGTTTTAAATATCTATGGTGAACATTGAGTTGCAAAGATATAGGGATTAGAAGAGCAGGGTGTCCCAAAATAAACATGGACATTGAGAGATGACTTCAATATCTTCTTTGATTTCCGATAATTGATAAATGACATACAGGGTTAAAAAATTGAAAGTTTAATGTGCTTTCCATAATGTGGTCTACCTTTTTTGTATCTTTAAAATTGATATTAAACAGTTGAACCGTTTAAATGATTTTTTTAAACTGTAATCTGGACAAATTTCCTAATATCTTCGTCATTTTTAAAGTAAAAAAAGGTAGACCACATTTTAGAAATCTCATTTAAATCCCATGTTTATTGGTACACCCTGTAATATAGCGGAAAATGGGTTGCCATAGAGAGAGAGAGAGAGAGGATTTACGTTAAGCAGAGAGCGGTGAAAATACCCCAAAGCAGTGTTAAGCAGGAATGCAGTCCAGTCAAGTCAGGGTGGCATAATTTTCTACTCAAGCTAGCGCAGGGAGGTTTATTCTACTTTTTATGCGTAATAGTAATTATCGCATTTTTTAAATTCTCCGACTTGGAGCATTTTTTTGAAGAAAATAAAGGTTTTGGGGATCAGATTTCAGTCTTCATTCTCGTAAATATTTAAATGATTTATTTTAACAATTTAATTTTTTTTTGCCTAAACTCGATTGACTATTGAGAAACCCAAAAGAGTTTTTTTTTATAAACATATTTTGGAAATTAAAAAACCTGTTTAAATGGGCTTTCTGTTGGGAAAACAAAATTTGTTTTTTTAAAGGGAGAATATTCACACCTACTAATATATTTATCTTATTTCCTTCAAAAAATACAAAAAATCCCCCCCCCCTCCCCCTCCTTGCAGATCATTTTAATATATACCCAGAATTTTTGTAATTTTTTAAGGGCTTTATTTGCTAAATTGTGAAAACAACGATGTTAGGCGAAAAAGCATGTTTTTTTGGGTTAAAAAGTGTCTTAACGGGTATATCTAATTTGCCATTTTGATTTTCATCTTTTCCTTCCCTAGAAGATAGTAAATCTTTTTCTTCATTTTAATTTTTTTTTTATAAAGCATACAAATAATCGTATTTTTTTCTCCTGAATTACTAATAGTTAGTTTATGTTAACTATCTATTTTTATTTTATTATTATTATTTTAACTATTTTAACTATTCTGCTTTTTCTGCTTTCTGCAATCCTACGCCATTTAATTGATTTTCGGAAAACTTTTTCGTGGATATGTTAGGAAAAAGTGTGCTAGAAATATAGCTGCGTCCTATCTACATATCTAACTGAATATCAATCTATCATTTGAACTTTCTTATTTCGCGCATTCCTGGAATTTTTCGTGTTTTTTCAAGCTTGTCTTATCCTACAACTTTAACTTACAAAATTGAAATTCTATTCATTGTAAGCAATTTTAGAGATTTCTGAGCCATTATACATTTTAAGATTTTTAACCCCAGGAAAACGAATAACAAACTTTTTCGAATTGTAAAGCATCAATTTTTACAGTGATGAATGTTAACACTCAAATAAAAAGAAATAATATTATAATTTCAAGACTTAGAATTACAAAACAGAGATACCCTGTTCTACGCCGACTGCGCGAAACTCCTCTGGGCTTCTGCCTAAGGGTTATTGTGAACAACTTTCATCCAAATCTTGAAAAGACAACATATATATATATAGTTTGGCTTGCTGTTAAGCCGTCTATAGCTGACATATATATATATTAGCTAAGAGTTTTATTGAATAAAAAATTGTTTAGTTTGACGAAACCTGAAAGTTTTGCTGATTGTGTTGGTGATGAACTCCCGCTGGGGTGGGAACAGGTTCTAGATCTCAACAGAGGGGTCTACTACGTCAACCATGTTGAGAGTAAGTACATTTCGTCAAAATAGTTTTTTAGAGAGTGTAATTGCTCGAAACTCCCGGCTTTCCTTTTTTTTTCTTGGATTTGTGTAGATTTTGATTTAAAAACTAGAAAACAATAAGATAAAAGAAAACCAAATTAGTTAATATTTCTTAACGGAAAAAATCGGTATCCTCTGTACTGCCTGAGCGGGTGTAAGTTTCAGGCTCTGAAAATTTTTATAATCTCTTTTTTCAATAGTTCAGATTTGTATTTAGAGAGTAAAAAAAGTTTTTTTTGTAGCTTTTGGTTTAAATTTTGCTCTTTAGCCAACAGCTTGCGGATCCTAAGCACTGGGTGTAATATGTAAACACTTAACTGTGGATCCTAGGTTAACTTGTCTGTTTATATTGTAGAAGAAGTACAGAGTGTGGATCCTAGGTTGGAGTGTAGTTTAACTTGTCTGTTTATATTGTAGAAGAAGTACAGAGTGTGGATCCTAGGTTGGAGTGTAGTTTAACTTGTCTGTTTATATTGTAGAAGTACAGAGTCTGGATCCTAGGTTGGAGTGTAGTTTAACCTGTCTGTTTAGAAGTACAGAGTGTGGATCCTAGGTTGGAGTGTAGTTTAACCTGTCTGTTTATATTGTAGAAGAAGTACAGAGTGTGGATCCTAGGTTGGAGTGGAGAGCACTTCAGGAGGATATGCTCAGACAGTATCTTACTACAGCACAGCTAGATCTTCAGGTAGCTCATCCTTATCCTCATCGTCATCGTCATCATCATCTTCATTATCCTCATCCTTATCCTAATCCTTATATTCTCCCTCATCCTCATCCTCACATTCATCCTCATCCTCACCTCTATAATCATTGTCAACACCTTTTCATTTTCATTGATTTTTTGTTCTTTCTTTTGTTTCCGTAATTTCCGGTACACAATGATCTTGCTCTCGTTCTGTTTGTCTTGATCTCTATCTTGATCTTGATCTAGGCTAAAAAGGAGCTGGTAGCTGTAAAGGAGGCTCGTCTTAGTTTAGCTCAGGATGAATTCAGGCATCTGAACTCTACACTCTCTACTTTGTCAACCTCTACCACTAGCTGTAAGTAATATTGTCCTTTTTCATGACCGCCATTTTTATTCATCAGTAAGAAAAATTAAAATATAAGGTTTCAGCCATTTGGTGGCAGAGATAATAATGATTTGAGAATAAAAAGAGAAATCATTTCCTTTAATGGACAAAGTTTGCCACGAATAAAAAAAACAAGGTCGGCTTTGTTTTGTTAATCTTCTCAGAGAGCTCTAGTCCGGCACTTTTTTATTGTTAATCTTCTCAGAGAGCTCTAGTCCGGCACTTTTTTATTGTTAATCCTTTCAGAGAGCTCTAGTCCGGCACTTTTTTATTGTTAATCCTTTCAGAGAGCTCTAGTCCGGCACTTTTGTATTGTTAATCCTTTTGGAGAGCTCTAGTCCGGCACCTTTCAGAGAGCTCTAGTCCGGCACTTATGTATTGTTAATCCTTTCAGAGAGCTCTAGTCCGGCACTTTTGTATTGTTAATCCTTTCAGAGAGCTTTAGTTCGGAACTTTTGTATTGTTAATCCTTTCAGAGAGCTCTAGTTCGGAACTTTTGTATTGTTAATCCTTTCAGAGAGCTCTAGTCCGGCACTTATGTATTGTTAATCCTTTCAGAGAGCTTTAGTCCGGAACTTTTGTATTGTTAATCCTTTCAGAGAGCTTTAGTCCGGCACTTTTGTATTGTTAATCCTTTCAGAGAGCTCTAGTCCGGAACTTTTGTATTGTTAATCCTTTCAGAGAGCTTTAGTCCGGAACTTTTGTATTGTTAACCCTTTCAGAGAGCTCTAGTCCGGAACTTTTGTATTGTTAATCCTTTCAGAGAGCTTTAGTCCGGAACTTTTGTATTGTTAATCCTTTCAGAGAGCTCTAGTCCGGAACTTTTGTATTGTTAATCCTTTCAGAGAGCTTTAGTCCGGCACTTTTGTATTTATTGTTAATCCTTTCAGAGAGCTCTAGTCCGGCACTTTTGTATTGTTAATCCTTTCAGAGAGCTCTAGTCCGGCACTTTTGTATTGTTAATCTTTTCAGAGAGCTCTAGTCCGGCACTTTTTGTATTGTTATTCCTTTCACAGAGCTGTAGTCCGGCACTTTTGTATTGTTAATCCTTTTAGAGAGCTCTAGTCCGGAAATTTTGTAGTTCTAAAGATCAAGTTTATCCTTCTGAAAGGTATATTGAAGATCGAGAAAATATGAGAAACGGATCAAGCACTTAATTAATCGTTTAGTTTTGTTTCCAATATGGATATCGAGCTCAAGTGCTGTAGAAAAGCGCCATTTTCACTCAAAAGTTTCCACCTCTAAATATATTTTACTTCTGTAAAGTATTAGATAATACTAGTTTGTCAACCAGAGAAGAAACTTGATCATCAGGACTTTCTCAAACTAGATCTTTTCTGGAAAATTATTTTTTTTCTTTAAAAATGTATTAGATAATAATAATGCAATAACCATATGATAATTCTTCTTTTTAGTAAATTCTACGTTGTCTACTACAAGTACTAAATATGATCCAGATTTATTAAAAGCTGATGTCTCCCACGCTAAGGTAATTTATGAATTATTTATGCTAGGACGCTTTCAATCCCCTTTTTTCTCGATAACAGTTTGCTTTTTTCGCCCTTTTCTCCGTACATCGAAATTTTTTGGGTTTAACTGCATGTAAGGTTCTACAAAAATCGATTAGCGAGTTTTTACATTTCTATTCAAACCCCCAGTTTTTAAGAATTGCCAGTTTAGGAGATGTTAACTATACGTTGATGAGAATAAGATGTTTTATACCAATTTAAAAAAATCAATATTTGACCCCCAAGTAAAGGATTCAAATTTTCAAACCCTTGATTAATTATTTTACAGTGAGCGGATGAATGATAACTCAGTATTTTTATATGCTATCTGTGACCAAATATCTCTTTAAATCTTGATCCGCTCTGAATGAAATGTCTATTTCAGGCTCGGGTACAAAGATTGCGCCGAGAGTTGGCGAATATTAGTTCTGAGATGGATTATAAATCTCAGGGGTTAGAAACTCTCTCCAGGTAGGAGTTTTTTTTTTATTAAAATAACAGTCCACGTAATTTAAGGTGGCTTTATTTAAAGGGTTAAATTCCCGGTTCATAACAGTATCTTTAAATTCTTTTTCTGTCTAATAACCAATAACCATGTTTAGTCTCTTTTTGGATTTATGCTGCAGGGAGCGTCGTCAATTTTAATCTTAATTCTAAAAGGAATTGATTCTTTGCCACAAACTTGATTTTCTAATCCTTATTTCCTTGTCGAAGACATTATATATTTCAAATTGTGAATTCTGTTCGATCAATGAATCTAAATTTAAAATATCAAACGTTTATACCATCAGGTTGCAAAAATATAGGGATTAGAAAAGTTGAGTTTGTGGACTTCTTTTGACGTGTTATGGTTAACTAATGTAACTTATTTTTAGTGTCAACAATAAATTTGAACATGGAACAGCTCTTACCCAAGAAGAGGCTTTAGCAATAAGGTAGGTCATTGATTAAAATCATGACCTTTACATTAACTATTAATATTACTATGACCCTAGACCAAGCCCATGACAATAAACAACCATGACCATTGACCATGACTATTGACTACGACCTTTACAATAACTGTAATTATGATCATTAAAATAACCATTACCATGACCATTACAGTAACCATAAGCCTGATCGTGACCATGACCATGACCATGACCATGACCATGACCATGACCATGACCATGACCATGACCATGACCATGACCAATGAACATGAACATGAACATGAACATGAACATGAACATGAACATGAACATGAACATGAACATGAACATGAACATGAACATGAACATGAACATGAACATGACCATGACCATGACCATGACCATGACCATGACCATGACCATGACCATGAGCAGGACAATGAGCATGTTGATGTTTAGACTTGAGTTACGAAGTATTCAGCAGTCCCTGGTAACAGGAGAAATGGAAAAAGTACAACTAATGAAGAGCCTAGCTTGCCTAAAGGTAACTAAACGAAAACATCATTTAGATTTTTAAAGAAATAACTCGATTACTTAATTCTTTGATAATTTTTATAATATTTTTTTTCTTTTATTTCATTATTGTTGTATTGCAATTTCAAGAAATTAGCTGATAACAATTATAAGTTTAGTTTAATTCAAGAAAGAATATAATGAATATCATGACTGTCAATAAAAACAACTGGATACTTGTCTCAAAATCTAATTTTCCTATTTCCATATCTTCGTATCCTTATGACGAAAACCTTATATTGCAACTCTGGCTGTTTTATCTAGTAGAAGTTGTAAAACATTAGATTGAAAATTATTTAATTTTATTGAAATTGAAATTTATTTTAAGTTTTCAACTTCTTTATGCATCAAAATCTAACAAGATTGGCACTATTTATCAAAAATCTTTCCTTTAATATTTATTTTTAAAACATTTAGAGATGACCTACAGTGACCTTTCATATCAAAATAGAGGAAAAGGTCAAATTACTGTTAGAACTTTGTGAAATCGTAGCTCCTGTAGTTTTGATTTTACGTCCACGGTAAAGCAAAGTAGCACGTAAGATTTAAATCTTATATTTTTTCAACCTTTAGGTTGCAAAGATATAGGGATAAGAAATTTGAGTTAGTGGCAAAAATTACATAAAATAAAGCTCTCAGCTCTTATATATACTTTATTTGTGATAGCTATAGCTAGCAGAACGGCTGAACCAAATTCGCTGAATTTTTTTGAGGGAACGCATGTGTACCCTGGGCTAAAAAATAAATTTTTTTAAATAGTTTTTTTTCAAAATTAAAAACTTTTAAAACTTTTTTATTAGGATGACCTGACCCGTCTTGAACCAAGTGATAGTAGTTTGGATGTGTCAGCTCTAAACCAACCTGATACAACATGTATGGCGTCACAGACAGATCTTTCCGGGGAGGTACGTAATCCTTTATTCTAGGGTCTACAAAAAATGCTTAGGATCCGGATCCAAGGGACAAAATATCAACCAAAAATTGTAAAAAGAAATTTTTTGCTCTCAAACCCAAAACTCAAAGTCGAAAAAGAGAGATTATTAAAAATGTCCTAATCACTAAAAAGTTTATTAACTTTTAGCACAAAAAAAGCGAGAAAAAAAAGATTAAAATAAAAGTAATCAGTAAATCTTAAAGAGATGTTCATGACCTGGAACCAGATCCATTTTTTTCAAGGCGGATCCGGATCAAAATGAAATGGATTCTAAGCACTGTGTACAATGTACATTGTACATTAAAATGTACTATTTATACTTTGTTCATATATTCTACTTATACCCCTATTTCATTGAATGATAGTTTTTTTCTGCTAATAATAATAATAGTAATAATACGTAATCATACAGTGGTAGGCGATTATACCAATACTATGAAGGCGACTCTCGATTTTTAATTTGATATAAATCAAGCTGTTAAACAGCATGGATACACAATACACATAAACATGATTGTAATGTTTTATACTTTTTACATAAAAACCATACTTCTTTATGTATTCTATGATATTATAAACATCTACACGATATTGATAAGTTACTCGGTACATGATATTCTATACTTTAAGATGAATTTTTATTTGTATTTCATGATATCTTTGTACAATGTACATTATATTCTTTATTTTCCCTTCAAAAGCTTACTAGCGTATTTGGAAAAAATTCTTATTAATAAAATTGAGTTTTGAAATCGAACATAATTGTAACCCTGTTTAGATGGTTCCTGTTGGTGCCCGGCTAGCTGAGCTCGCCAGATTAAGATTGCAATATGATGAATCTAGAAGAAGTGTACAGGTAAAACCAGTTCTAAAATGTAAACAAAGTTGTCGTTTACAAATAATTAATCGGTTTGATAAAACGACGCAATTGAGATCCAGAACCTATTTATTTTTACTTTCTGTCTACATGTTTGGTTCTCGAGGCATGCACTGGGGTTCAAAATTCATGATTTCCTGCCTACATATTGATTCTTCTCATGGCATGAACTGTGGTTCAGAACATTTCCTGTCTACATATTGGTTCTCACGGCATGCACTGTGGTTCAGAACATTTCCTGTCTACATATTGGTTCTTGAGGCATGCACCGTGGTTCAAAATTCATGATTTCCTGCCTACATATTGGTTCTTCTCATGGCATGAACTGTGGTTCAGAACATTTCCTGTCTACATATTGGTTCTCAAGGCATGCACTGTGGTTCAGAACATTTCCTGTCTACATATTGGTTCTTGAGGCATGCACCGTGGTTCAAAATTCATGATTTCCTGCCTACATAGTGGTTCTCGAGGCATACACTGTGGTTCAAAACTCATGATTTCCTGCCTACATATTGGTCTCGAGGCATGCACTGTGGTTCAGAACATTTCCTGTCTACATATTGGTTCTCATGGCATGAACTGTGGTTCAGAACATTTCCTGCCTACATATTGGCTCTCAGGGCATGCACTGTCGTTCAAAATTCATGATTTCCTGCCTACATATTGGTTCTCGGGGCATGCACTGTGGTTCAAAATTAATGATTTTCTGCCTACATATTGGTTCTTTGGACAGGAGTTGAGGTAGTTCAAATTCTTCAGTTTATTTAACTGCTTTTATAAATGGATTGAATAAATGCCACATGCTCTGGATTACTGACAAGTGTTTACATAGGCCCGATTCACAACAGTACTCCTGAAACCTTTGTTTGTTTGTTTCTGCAGCCGACATCAGCAAGTCACTTGCAAAGAACCCATAATTGAAAATAAACAATTTTCAACGCTTTTAAGTGTACCGACCGTTGGGAATCAGACATGCCACTCTATAAGCCGAGGGTCTCTTTAAACGTGAACAGTACCTTTGAAAACTACTTTTTAGGAGGTTCAGCAGCAGCTGTCTAGCTTGGAAGAGAGGATATCTCCAGGACAGCTGGAGAGTGACTACGATAGACTTCTTCTTATTCAAGAGAAGGAACAGCTTCTTAGAGAACTCAGGTAGATAGATAGATAGTTACATTATTATAATTATTACCATCATATTATTATTATTATTATTATTATTATTATTATTATTTTAATTAAATAACTCTACAAAAAGATTGTTAAAGTAATTGAGCTTTTGTCACAAACTTAAATTTTCAAATCCCTATATCTTAGACATTAACTGGCAGTTCAGCCAATTCAGCGAATAAAACCTTAAATATGAGTAACATACCCATATTCTCTTGGATAAATAATGTCAATAGGAGGGGGGGGGGGTTGAAGATTTAGAAATATGCTATTTTTATTAACGGTAAACACAATTATATGTCTTTTTGTGCTAAAACAATATAATTATCGTATGTATATTAATTAGTATTGCTTCGTATATAATGTTTAGACCTAGGGCAGTAATAATATTTGCCCCAGCTAGTAATTACCAGGATATTATATATGATACAATAACAATACCATGTTGTAAACAATTACTGAAAATATGCAGTACACAATAGAATTGAAATTATGAATGGAACCAAACAAGAAAAGAGAGTCATTGAAAAACGCAATGTTGGGAGTAGTGATGGGCAATATCAGATTCGTTTTAGAAGAATTTGCTTTTATCAAAGAGGTTTGCTTTTATCAAACATGCAAATTTATTATCCTATGGTGAAAATATCAGGCAAAAACAAACCTAAAACCCCAAAAAACAAAAACCGTGCCTTATGTTTTCTTCAGGGTAACAAATTTGCATGTTTGATGAAAGCAAACACTTCTACAGAATAAAGTTTTAAATTGTTGTAGCCATCTCATTTTGTCGTAAAACCTTTCAAAAGTCTAAAAACATTAAAAGTTTCTGTAAAAAGAATCTGGATATTGCCCCTCCCTAGTTGGGAGTAGGGCGCAACAAATCATAATATTTACGGTTAAAAACTAATAGACATTAATTGGTTTGATGAAGGGGAAATAGAGAAACCAAACGTTAACCCTATATAGACAACTTGAATTAAAATTTTATCTTCGTAAATCTTGAAGATGTGCACGTAAACTAATTTAAACGAAGTACATCATGTCGGAATATTTTCAGTCGAATCTTTTATTTTAAATACAAAATCGTTCAAAAAAGCATAAGAGACTTTATATACTAACATAATTTAAAATCAACAAAAAAATATAAAATAGCAAATTGTTAAAACAACATTTAATGGATAAAAATGGGATATAAAGTTAAGAAAATGGGATATAAAGTTAAGAAAACGGGATAAAAAGTTAAGAAAACGGGATATAGAGTTAAGGAAATGGGATATTTAGTTAAGAAAATGGGTTATGTTAAGAAAACGGGATATAAAGTTAAGAAACCGGGATATAAAGTTAAGAAAACGGGATATAAAGTTAATTTTATGGCCAACTTAACATGGTATCTCTTGAAATGACTTTATGGCCAACTTAACATGGTATCTCTTGAAATGACTTTATGGCCAACTTAACAGGGTATCTCTTGAAATGACTTTATAGCCAACGTAACAGGGTATCTCTTGAAATGACTTTATGGCCAACGAAACATGGTATCTCTTGAAATGACTTTATGGCCAACGTAACATGGTATCTCTTGAAATGACTTTATGGCCAACGAAACAGGGTATCTCTTGAAATGACTTTATGGCCAACGTAACATGGTATCTCTTGAAATGACTTTATGGCCAACTTAACAGGGACACTAAGCATTCCGGTTCATATGAAGTACCGAGCCGATCTTTCGGCCACTACAGCATTTGTTTACAGTGTACACATGAACTGTAAGATTGGAATTACGGGTCATTAATTACCAGATCTTTAGTGAGAAATATGTTCTTACAATCAGCACCCACAATTTAATCAATGTGCCTGTCATTTGACTTTGTAAATATTGTAATTATATCATTTTTTTGTATAAATATATTAGTTTGAATTGAAATTTCTATACAGAAGATAAATTGTTGTTCGCCTGAGAATTATTTTTTACTGCATTAAATTAAACCCTACAAAACAACAAATGAGTAATTAAAACACGGCAATGTACATAGAGATGGGCACGTTCGGCTCGTTCGTTCATCGTTCAGGAACGACCCATTTTGTTCATTTTTTCAATCGTTAAAAAATGTATTTCGTTCAATTTTCAAAATTATCATTCATTTTCCATCTATTTCGTCCGTTTTCTCAATAAACGATCGTTCAGTAAAATCGTTCGTTTTCCGTAAAAAAACTATTTTTTTTTCAAAAGTTTGTTTGTTTTCGTTCAGAAAAAATGTTTTTGGAAAGTTTTTTTTTAACCGTTTGTTCAGAAAAAAAGTATCGTTTTTCAAAATATTTTGGAAAGTTCTTTTTTGAGTAAAGTTCCGGGTGAAAGCAAGTAAAAGCAGCCTGTAGACTGTAAAACGGTTCATTACACCACATGAATTATCCCCTTCTGTAGACTGCAAAACGGTTCATTACACCACATGAATTATCCCCTACTGGTGAGATCGATGTAAAGTGCACGGGCAAATTCAAGTTTTTTGTATTTTTTGTTTTAAAGTTATTGGCTCCGTTGTTTAGAATATATTCAGTATTCGGGTTGTATAGGGCCCGAGGCCTAACTCATATATACTCTACACCTTACATTAATATTATTGAGGCTTCAACTATCTATCTATCTCAGAAGTTTCTATTTACAAATATGGACTTTAAACAGTTACAGTCAGTACAAAAAATATAAGAGAGAAAGAAAAAACACTAGAAATATAATAGTGTGCGTATCTGATAAGTTTTAAGAAAACTCATTAGTTTACAACTTTTAATTTAAATTATCAATGATTGTTCTTTTTAGACACCATTAAATCTATAAATTATGAATAAGTGGGTTATATATATTTTGGGTAAAAACCCTGTGTGTAAGTGTATATATTAGAAAAATGAAGATGTTGGTTAACCCATTAATTTATAACTTTAAATAGCCAAATATATAATTGAATTCAAACCTTGCAAACTAATATTAGATGTGCCCAAATATTATCATTGTATAAAAATTTGGATTTTTCTTAGTTATAAGCTTTTTTTCAAGAGTGATTTTTGTGCTAAACATTAAATTATTACAAATTACAGCATTTTCATCAAAAATCTATGTTTCATGGAATTTAAAACATTTTTTTCTGATTTTATTCAGCACAACGTGTAAATTCACTTTACAGGCAAATAGAGTAGTTACCCTTAATACCCACTTAACCCCAACCCAGGGGTTAAAGGGATACAGGCTTCTTAAAGGGAGGGTCTCCAATTCTTAAAGGGAGGGTCTCCAATTATTGAATAACCTTTTTTTGATTTAATTTTATGAAAAAACTCTTAAACATTTTTAGAGCTGGAAAAAAAATCTCGGTCTAGTTATTTTAACTTAAAAACCATGGCACTAGTCCCTTTATAAGCTATGGTTATCTTTAGTATATGATTAGGGTTTTAAACCTCTAAATAATAAATGAAGAACTAACACTATTTGTTTAAAGTCTGAAAGTTTTTGTATCTACGTAAAATCAGGACGATAAATCTTAATGCTTTTTAACAGCTCAACTTTTTGTATAAATAAATACATGGTGTCCAACAATGCTTTATTTTTTTGGATTTAAACTTTTTCAGAGTTTTCGAATTAATTTGAAATTTTGTACGCTCAGCAGTTAGGAACCCTAGCTACAAATCCTTAAATTTCCGTACTGCATTTTAAATCTAAATGTGCTAATCATTAACTATGCAAAACTTGTAATACGATTAGCCTAGCCTTGCAACGTCTGTAAATATGTCATAACCTGGATTGTGATTAACTTATAACCAAGTCAGTGACAGGCTTAACTACGCTTATATATATCCGCGCTAATCTGATAAATATGTATATTAAACTTAATCTGTAACATAGATATCTAAATACACATCAGTTGGAACAAACTCCGCTTTGATTACTGAGTGAGAAGAAATTGCTCCTCGTTAAGCATACAAGATATTAATATCGTGCCCAGTGATTTGTTATTGATAGAACAGTTGAGATTGTGCCCAGTGTTTGGCGTTGATAGTCTCTGAGATCGTGCCAATGGTGGTTTGGCATTGATAGTATAGTATAGTTTTGGAACAAAACTTTGGGTTCTCGTTGAAGCATACGAGCGTAGATCTTGCTTTAATAATTAGCAATTGAATCGAATATAGCTTGAAAGATAGCTTGGGTCCTCATTGAATTATAAGAGTTGAGATTTGAATGGGTGTCCGTTAAAACAGGAGAGTTAAGCCTGGTTGAGATATTGCCTAGCTGTATGTCATTTAGAATCGGTGAATTAGTCCTGAAGGATCTTGGTAACCAGTAGACCTGGATAGATACGTCTTGAGTAAATTGTCATGGAGTAGGTATTTGCTACAAATATACATTTTTTAAGACATTAATGATCAAATCAAGGTTTAAAAGATAAGGTTGTGAATCTGACAAGGCTCTCTTACAGCAGGAGGGTCACACAATTTAAAAAAAGTCTCAACAGCAAAATCTATTTTTCCAAAAAATATTTTGAACAGCTTTCAAGTGTTAGACATCGTATAAATCAAATTTATATTGAAAGAGAATAAAAAATCAGAATTATTTAGTAAAATAGTAAGTAAATGGTCAGAAAACTGCTATGTATCAAATTTGGTAGGTACAATGCTTTTTCTAGTAAAATACATATTTTATATTAATATAAAACAATTGCGACCTTCCATAGATACGGTTACTCTTAAAAAATGATACTTTAATGGCTACATTAAATTCTTAAAATTTGACAACGCGAATGTATAATTTAGGATACTAATTTCACAATATAGTTTTTATATCGTTTATTTAATAACGCCAGAACAAAAGTGGGAAATTTGAATAAATTTATACTCGATATCTTAAAAATAAATTTTTGTTAGAATATTGTTGATCTTGATATCAATATCCAGCTGGGAACTTTAGAGTTTGAGGATATATCAATGCTTGGAACGTTGAGTTATCA